GCCAACCGCTCTTCCACTTCCTAAACCTTTAAACGGAGAGAGAAGGCAATCTGACAAATTTATTTTCCCAAACCTTCCAGGGAGCTAATCTACGACCAACCTCAACGAGGCGTCTTCGCCATCTTTACAGGCACCCCTGTGATAATCACACGAGTTGGACTATTACATGGGGCCAATCTAGCCAGCCTAAAATCGCGTGGCTTTGGATCAACTTCCTCCTCTTCTCCATACTGCCGAGTTAGCTGCGAGGGAAGTTCTTGTACCACTCGGGTGGTGAGAGAGAATAACAATCCTGTGTGGAACGAGGCTTTCATTTTCTATCGTGCCAGGCCCACTAAACAACCCATCAAAATTGAGGTAAGATTGAGCTTCGAGGCTTTCCTGACGAAGGACGCCATACAGCAAATGTTGATACGGGATGGGGTCTATTTGTACTGACACGACTCACTTATAAGATTGGTGTCTGTACGATAGGCACCTTATTATTAAAAACATAGTCAACCACTGCTCGTTTTAGCGATCTTTACTGTTCTTTGTAATCACCGTCCCGCATGAGCAGTCATAACTTTCGGCAGATTACATGGTCATGAGTAAGGAGAACTGTTTTGGGAAGGACTAAGCTGAAGTAACGAAAAAGTCCTTAGATTTAACACGGCGCGAGAATCCTGTGTTCTAAGCGTTCTGTTGCATTTAAATTTAAACATTCCGTTTCTTTTGCATTGTATCAATCAAGAAGAATGTTGTTGTTAGCTAACTTAACTATATTTACCCGTCATTTCCGCCATTACAATGACCCAAAGCATTATTGAGGCTGGTAAAAGAAACACCAGAATAAGTGACTTCTAAACCATGTACTGAAGATCTGAAGGACGAAATAGTGGAACCTAACACCACGGTGGCCAGAAGCGTTACTATAAAAATACAATGCTATCAAGTAGTGATAATTCTCAATCACCCTTTCGCATTCTTTCAGGTCTTCGATAAGCGAGCAATTGGGGCAGATGAGTTTCTTGGAGAGGGAATAATAAACACCCCCGAATCATCAGGGAACGGTGATTTTGATGTAAACCTCTATACGAAATCGAGAGATGAGAATAGGATACGACTAAAAGGCACCATCTCGGTATCTCTGTATACCGTGGACATGGAGAACTACATGAACATATGACCAGACCACTTTCCAATGTCCCATCAGCCTTTTACATCTTTCTCCTTACACTGCTTGAAGCGCTTCCGAAATTGTTGTATCTCGACAACGCCAGATTTTGTCAGAGAATTCCGATGCTGTGAATCGGGAACTTACTTAAAGTTGCTTGAAAGGTAGCTCATGCGTGCCCACATGCAGCCAGAGGGGAACCATGTCTCTGAATCAGTCATCAGCTTCCCTTTCGTATTTAAGACTGCGTCGGGCAGATCGATTACCCTCGTCGTTATTTAAGACCCATGCGAATGCGCATTCGTATGCTTTCAACAGACTTGAATTGGAGGTTGCGCCTTAGGCATTAAATAGCTGCCTTTGATGTATGATCCCGTTATAATGCCAGGCCTCAAAGTGCACTTCATGAATAATCTCGCTATCCTGGATACCGGATATAAAGAGGACGAAATGAAAGCCTGACCAAGTCGCATCTAAAGTGTTTGTTCCTCACTTATCTTGCGTACACTTCAGCAGCAAAACTGACATTTCGATCAATTCAATATTAATGAACAGAACCATCGGAGAAGGAGCTACGCAGATTGAAACCATACCTATTGGGATGAAAACTAGGACATTATCCTATAAAGCGCTTGAAAAGTCGGTAACAGCCTGATATACATCACTGATGTACTTATTCGCGTTCACTATAGAAGGCAAGCA